TATCTGTACGAAGTTGGTGCGATCAAGGCGGAGGGCAAGTGAATCGAATAGTCGCAAATGTACCTAGTATCACAATGTATCAAAGCAGACGAGATGCTCGACTCGTGTAGCTGCCCAACCAGTCCCCGTTGAAGTTCGTTGAGACTTTGGATTCTACGCTCAAGCCCATACTGGTGAATCCGGCCGCTGTGTCATGTGTGTCTCTGGCTGAGTGTCTGAGAGCTTCACATTGTAAGCAGCATCTTTTACACGAATACACCTTAATGTGAGTTCCTATTCCTACCGCACATTCTTTGGAGATTATCCTCTATCCTTCTGAGTCTGTGATATTGGCGGGCAGCGTTCAGGACTTGTGTAGGATGCGTCGTTGATACGACTCCTTGCTCTGGCTAGACCGCTTGAGTTCCAGGATTTTTTAGTCTCTGCCAATCTGACCTCTCGATACGAGCTAAGCAAGATCAAGTTGAGTAGATGATAGTAGGACGAGTAATGCATCTATCTGCCACTCGAGGATAGCTGAGCACTGCCACATGTCATCATCCATATGACGCAGCCACGTTTTCTCTCTGTCTGTCGCTCACCCGGAGCCGGATGCCCCAGTCTCCTCGTTATACATCCCGGACGAGTGCATATCCCCCCAAAACTACCTACGCAAGTACTGCCATCTCCCAATTCCTGCCCCTTCTCGTGCTCTTTCTCGTGCCACTGGTCACCCTCCGCCTCGTCGTCCCTGCTGTCAAACGTATATCGGGCCTGGTTACTGTGAATGGGATGGGTCTGTTTGGCTTTGGGTTCTGGAGTGGAGGATCGAGTGCGGATGTGAGTGCGGATGACGACAATCAAACCGGATCCAGTCGAAGGCGAGAGAGGGTACGCACCAGGGCTGCACAACAGGAGCAGCAACGAGCAGGACACGAGAAACCGGATTCAGTGTCTTTTCCTGGACTCTTCAATGTGTCCGGGACGCATTGCTTCATGAACTCCACATTGCAGGTATGACGGGCACACTTGTCGGGCAGACCACGCTCACAACGCGTATAGGCTCTGGCTTCCCTATCCGCTCTCATGCCACACCTCTCCGCGCTTCACAATCGCGCTGAACAGTGGGACGTCCCTACACCCGTGCTCGACGCGCTACTGGATCTCCTTCACTCGCTGAATACACCATCGAGATCCGCCCTGCGCGCCACGGCACTCGTTGAGGCACTCTGCGCGTCACCCGATTCCTCCTCCGCCTTCTGGGGCATCTCCACCTCGAGCTCAAAGACAGATAAAAGCGCGAAAGCGGCCGCATTGCTGGCCACACACCAGCATCAGGACGCGCAGGAGTTCTTCCAGCTGCTGTCCGAGGCGATCAGAGAAGAAACGGCGTTGGTTGCTGCTGACAGTGCTCGAGATCGCGGCTTCGCTGGGCTTTCGGAATCTGAGGCTGGCATGGCAGCTGCCGTCAGCCCGTTCGATGGATTGACGGCAACCCGACGCGCCTGTGTGCGCTGTGGGTACGTATCGGCGATCCGGCATTTCTCGTTCGACAGCCTGCAGCTGGCTCTGGAGGGATGGAACGGGGTGGGTTTCTCGTATATCGTTGAATCATATCCCTTCTCACGCCACGGCAGACAACTATTCACCATCTGCTTACGACTTACACGGAGCTTGAGGTGCTAGAAGATTGTCCTTGCCGCCGGTGTTCTCTGCGCGCCACAGCATACCGGCTGACGGCTGAGGCGGCGCAGTTGGCGGAGGGTGTCGATGAGAAGAAGGCTGTCGATGGCGTATACGACGGCGAAAAGGAAAGGAAAACCAAGAGCAAGAAGCGGAGGGAGAAGGAGAAAGCCAAGGCTACGAGGGCTGCTACACCTTTTTCTGAGCTGGCCGCGGTCACGGCCCCTCTCTTATCTGATAGTGCCCGTCTCCGTCGTCTAAAAGCGACTCGCAGGCAATCATCTTTGGTGGGTCGGGCACTCGAGTCTCGGCGGATTGAAGAGGAAGACCTTGAAGGCGACTGGGATGCTGATGGCTTGTTCCGACCGGATCCAGGCTCTGACGCGCTGAAGGGCGTGCGGCTAGACAGAGTTCCTGGAGGCGTTTGTACAAGGCAGAGTATGATTGGCCGTGTGCGTGCATTCGAGATAGTCTGTTCAGCCACTTACTTGCTTTGTGTAGCTTCCGGCGGTCCTGGCACTGCACATCAATCGGTCTGTGCACACCGGATACCGAGCAGCGAAGAATGGGGCCTTTGTCGCTTTCCCCGAGGTCCTCGATTTGACGGCATATACGACATCTGGAGTGCTCAACGTCGAGCCGACGACGGGCATGAGCGACCGAGGGATCCTCGGCGCTCTCCGGCAGCACAATCCTGCGGTCTACCATCTTGCGGCTGCCGTCTGCCATTACGGGCAACACTCCTTTGGCCATTACATTTGTTTCCGCCGAGCTCCTGTGCCATCGCAGTCAGGCTCTTCGCCGTCATATTCACCTGCCCTGCCCACAGTCGAAACTACCTCCGGTTCCGGACGGGGCTGGCTCAGAATCTCCGATGCTCGCGTTGATCGGTGCGGCATCGAGTCAGTCTTGGCGGAGGGAAGCTCGGTCTTCATGCTTTATTACGAGCGGGTGCATGATCATACGGTGGACACCATTCCGAGAGGCCGGATCTTGAGGAGTGCTAGTCTCGGTCTTGGGGAAAGTTCTCTCCAGGTCAAGTCCGAGGAACACCCAGTCAAGTTGGAGGCGGAATCATCTTCCCTAGGCCAGCCATCATCAACCAGCCCTGGGGAACCCGAGGATATGCCAACCGTCGTCGACGTCGAGCCGGAACAGGTCACAGCTCCACCCGTTGATGATTCTCCGTCGGACTGCTTCGTGCCTGTTTCCAGCCCTGCCGCCGAGGAATCTCAAGTCGCATCGCTCAGCCCGCCTGTGGTGGACACCTCACCTCCGCCGGACGATAACATGCTGCTCTCAGCTGGTGCATTGCCGACACCCCCGCTCACTCCGCGATCCATCGCTGATTCGCCACTACCGCCAACCGAGGATGCTCCTATAGTCAAACTCAAGCCCAAGAAGAAGAAGAAGAAAGGGAAGGCGTAGACGGTCGGGTGTTCCGTGTCCAAAAGTATTATCGGTCCCCTGCTATTGTATGCCATAACGGAACATCGTCCTCGCCCTATTCGCTACATATCTACTACTGTATCATTATTGTCTTCTCTTCTATGGCTCAGGCGGGAATCATCAGGTTTTTTTGCATTGCGTGACGTATTGTACAAGAGTGTGAGTGAAATGAAATGAGACGATGTGTATGTGGGAAGGGAGCGGGTGGAGAGGGTCCAGAAGAAACTAGAAGAAACTAGCAAGTGTCCCAGCCCGCAGGAGAAAATGTGAAAGCAACAACAACAGTAGCGTCCCTCCCAATCCACTCCCGATCCAACAGAGTTGTTCACACCTCGAGAGGCGGCCCGACTTTTTCGTGCGCCGCAGTGGGACGGCGGGATGCGGCCTAGTAGTATATGCGGCGCTCGACCGTGCGCTGCTTCGGCACGAGATAAGACGGGCGGTGGTACGAGACCACGCGGCGGACGCGCGTGACGTGGGGGTACCTGACGTAGGTGGGGCGGCAGGTCAGCAGCAGCAGCAGCAGCGGCAGCCATCGCGCGGTGCGCGTGGGGAGGACGGACCATGCGTTGTACACATCCCCGCCGTCCATCTGGACTTCCACGATCTCGCGGCCCTAATCAAGATTCAAGAGCGTGTGAGTGAGATAGCCGGGGCGGAGGGCGTAGGGCTGGGGGCTGGGGGCTGGGGGCTGGGGGCACGCACGAGGTAGTCGACATGCGATCCGACCACGAGGCCTTCACGTCTGTTGGCCCCGTGTGTAATGGCCACGACGTCGCCGGGCTGCGGGGCGCAGTCAGCAACGAGTTATGGATCGGTGGGGCGCAGGGGACCCACGATGATTTCCTCCCTCGCTTCCTCGAGGTGGGCGGGGCTGTAGGTCGTCACGGACTGCGAAGACATGGCTGGGGGAGGTGCTGTAGAGGAGGATGGGGTTGGGGGGGTGAGAGCAAGGCGGACGATGACGTTTATCACGGTCGCCTATTGTCCCAGCTTTTATACTTCTTCCTTCCCGACCCGGATGTCATCGCTTCGACATTCCAGAAATCAGGCCTGCTGCATCGTGCGTGCCTCGAGGCGGCGGGCCTTGTCCCGAAAAGGCAGCTCCACGTGGTTGTGGAATGGCTGCGGTGAGGTTGAGGGGCGCTGAGCGGGCGAATAGGGCGAGGCCGGCACGTTTTCCCTCCTGCGATACTCCGGTGCTTGAGAAACTCAGATAATCAATTTCTTGCGCAAGGGGGAACATCGATTGCTGATGTCTGCTTCCGCGCATGATCGAACCCGCGTCCGCCCGGAATCTGATGGCTGGACAGCGATGACATGCCCCATCACAAATACTCTGATACAGTCCCCCTACCATGCATCCTTCTAGCCGTCTTGGCTCTGGATGCGTGGTACAGACTCGGCTGAAACTATTATGCAGGGTGAATGCGAGCCTCGGATCCATTGTCTACAGGCGTCTCTCTTTTTAACTCCGCTTTGAACAGCGCAGAAACAGCCGTCCACAGCTGCAAAGTCATCTAAACATCGAGTCGAACAATGTGGAGTCTAAACTTTTAGCAGTGAGAGCGACAAATCGTTAATGCCGCAAAACAGATGGTACTCCTCGATGTGATGGATTCGGGCTTAGATTTGCCCTCAGATTGGTTAGTGTAATCGTGCTGAGGATGCGGCCGCAGACAGCAATGGTTTGTGACAGTGAAAGTCCCAACTTCAGCTAGATGCTCACTCATGAGGATTGGTATATCGAGGAAAATTGGAGATTACTTTCGTACTCTCATCTTGAAATTCAAACTATGCCAGTTGAACTGACGTTTGCGGGTTTGTTTCAACCTAAAGTGATTTCATCAAGGGATCAGTTGATGCACCATCCCGCCATCACCGTGCATACAAACATCCTTTTCTGCCTCAACTCCGACTATTGAGGCCAAGACTTTCGATGGCGCGTTCAAAATAACCAGCTTTGATATTACTCGGTGACTGGGATTGGTATTGCCGCTGGTGTCGATGCGATCATCTGTTGTGAGTCTGGAGCGCAGCTGGGGGGGGCAGCCAGCGAGCCATTCGATACTGCCAGTCACCACCATCTGTTTCGATGCCGTGAGCAGTGGCATTCCCTGAGCGCCAGCCCTGACTCTTAGGGCCAATTTATCAGCTCTCATCGTGCAATGACGGCATAGCCTCATGGCCACTTCTCCCGCGGGCTGGCAGTGGTGATCATACACCTGGCACACTATAAAGCAGCGCCTCGCCCCCACCGGTTCGCACCACCAAACGACATGTCGCACTACGCGCTGCAAGATGTGCTCCCTGCGACAAACTACCTCGTGCACGACCTCGCGCTGGACGGGCTGAACGCGTCGGTCGACGGCCGGCTGCACTCTGCGCGCCCGTTCGCGTGGTCGTGCTTCAACGGCGGCGCAGACTGCCCCGTCGTCCAGGTACGCACGGAGACAGCCCATCCGTCTGCCATTCTGGCCAATGACTGTTGCTTTCATCAGGCGCAGTACACGAACGAGACGTTCCGCGCCGCGGCGTTCGCCGGGTACATCAACACCCAGTGGGAGACGTGCCAGGCGACCGGCGCGCAGTGTCTGCTCGACTTCGCCAACGCGACGAGCCTCGAGCCCGCGCTCGGCGGCGCGCAGAGCTGTGGCCAGGGCAGTGTGTCGGAGTTCTACGTGCGTGCGCGGCGTTCTGGTGTCTCGCTGGGCAGCACATATCAGACATGCGACGCAGATTGACGTCGCGACGTGGATGGATGTGGCCCATGCGTTTGGCTTCTCGCGACAGATGGGGATGCCGCTGGCCGTGAAGAACACCGGGGTTCGTTTGATTTGGTGCTAGCATGGCTGTAGTGTGGCGAGCTGAGTGCCCGGTCCACAGCACGACTACAACGGACGCAGCAGCGCACCCGGCTCGCTCGCTATCTGGGTAAAGTCTACTGTCCTCGCGACGCCATCTTTTTCTGATCCTCGCCGCAGATGCATCACCTCAAGAACGTGCGCCGTTGACCTGAACTGCCCCTCCCGTCTCAATCTGATCCCGCGGCACCAGATCACGTATGAGCCTAATTTCGTCCCCCAAGGCTGTCCGTCGACGCAGGCGTCCCAGATGGGCGTAACACTTGGGGTGCGTCGGGCGCTGATTGCGAACGGGTGTTTCTGAACTGCTGATCACAGGCCGGTGTGCAATGGGCCGAGGCGTACGCCTTTGCCGATGCCCATAACATCACGCTCGTAGGCGGATCCGACCGCTCCGTTGGGGTGGTCGGGGGCTGGACGCAGGGCGGAGGACACAGCGTGCTGAGCAACACGATGGGTCTCGGCGCTGACCGTGTAGTGAGTGGGAACGAATCCGTTGCGCTCTCCACTCAGTGCCACTGCAGCTCGAATACCAAGTCGTCACGCCCGATGGCCGCCTTAGGACCGTGAATCAATGCCAACATGAGGATCTGTTCTTTGCGCTCCGCGGCGGTAAGCCAAATCAGTCAACCCTCTCACCTTATCAAGCTGAATCTCGAAGGCGGCGGGGGAACGTTCGCTGTCGTGATGTCTGCCACCATCCTCGCATCCCCGCCCGTGACGCTTCAGACCCTGATACTGACCTGGCCGGAAAGCGATCGGACCCTGACGCGCGAAATCTGGGCTCTCATGGTCGATAATGCGCTGCACTTGGCGTCCGATGGATGGGGCGGCTTCGCGACTGCAAACACCGTGATCCTAGTCAACCCCGCGCTCGACGCAGCCGCGGCGACTCGCTCCCTGGCGCCGCTGATCCACTTCGAGCGCACGGGCACGCAGCGCACGGTCACGGCGTTCCCGACGTTCTACTCGTTCTTCGAGTCGTTCACCACCGCCCACGTCGCGGTGAGTCGTGTTCCATAACACCCTGCTGTTGGTGACCCAAGCCGAGGCTGACGCGCCACCGCCACACCAGATCGTCGGGCAGCAGCTCGCCCTCGCATCCCGCCTCGTCCCCACATCCGCCTTCGCGAGCGCCGCGTCCCGCTCCGCGCTGCTCGCCGCGCTCGTCGCGACGGACGACGCGGCCCCCGGCACGATCGTCCTCCTCGCGCCGCCGTTCAACGTCCCCGGATCCGGCACGAGCGCCACGCCGCTCTGGCGCGACAGCGTCTACCACGTGACCGCCGTCGCGGGCTGGGCGTGGAATGCGACGCGCGAGGAGAAGCGCGCGGCGTATGACCGCGTCGGCCGCGCGATGGACCGTATCCGCGCTGTCACGCCCGGTGGCGGGGCGTATCTGAACGAGGCGGATGTCTACGAGCCCGACCACGAAGGTGCGTTCGCGATAGTTTGGATGTGCGCTGGTGAGTGAATTGGCCGGTTGATGGGTTGGTTCGTAGTCTCGTTCTGGGGCGGGCATTATCCCGAGCTCCTGAGGATCAAGGAGAAATAGTGCGTGGCCGTTTGTGGTAAATGTATTGCGTTCGGGTCGCTGACACGCTGACAGTGATCCTGACCGCCTTCTGGATTGCTGGCACTGCGTGGGCTCGGATCCCGAGTCCGACAGGTTTTCGTGTTATCTTTAGATTTCTCAAGAGAATTTATCCGATTTCAACGTTGTTAGAGTGAAAATTAGCGGTTGTTTCTAGTTCAATGTTCTAGATTGAACACTGTCTTTCCACGTAACACACCGGGGGATCACACATAACACGGCCCATAAAGAATAAATTATATTCCATATATCGTGACCCCAAAAGAAGCTGACCTGATATGTCACATATCAGCGCAAAAACGACCTGATACCACAGATATCGGGTGCCGGGCATGATCCGAGTGCCCGATATGTCACATATCAGATCCCTTCATTTTTTCTGCCCCAATATATAGAATATAATTGATTCTTTATGGGCCGTGATATTCGCAATCCCTCGGTGTGTAAACCAGTAGACAGATTGATCTTCGACAAAGGACCCCCTTAGCTCCGTTCAGTTCACTAATAAGACATCACAGTTACTTTCTTGACGAAATTCGCTTTTTTTGCGAAAAAGTCACCACAATACTATGTTGAGCAAACAGCTTTGGTTTTCGTTATGCAACAGCCTCTGGTCACGATGGAGCCTCATCAGAGATTAGATAGCCCATATCGATTCCACACATCACCGGCATGTCGACCAGGACTTCAGCCCGCTACTTTCCCCGCGCTGGTATATACCTTTCCCTTCCCCGACAGTTCAGGCAGCGCACTGCGCAGCACCGCGTCGACCTCCACCTGCTCCATCTCACTCTGTATAAACAAAATGTCTACCACGATCCTCTCGATCGCAGTCAGCCGCTCCACCACGGCGCTCTCGAAATCTGCTCCGAATTTCTGGAGGGAGCCGTCGCTGACGTCGAGATCCGATATGAGGATGAAGACGGTGCGGATCCCGTTCGGGGGTTTGAGCCCGCGGATGAATCCCGTGATGTTGGTCGACAGGTTCGTGAAGTGGATCGCGCACAGAGAGGGGAGGAGCGACACGTCGATGTGATGCAGCGCATCTACGTCGGGCGTCAGAGTGGGGCTGGGTAGGTGCGTGGGTGTGAGGCAGCCATCAAGTGCTCACCGTGGGCGTCCAAGTAGATTTTCTCGATCCCGTGCCCCGTCTCGCGCAGGAAAACATTCCACACGGGTGCATCAACCCGGTCGAGGTGGAGCTCCCGCAGCTCGGCGAGATCCAGCGGCGAGAGGGGATCGAGGAGTATCGACGCCGCGGCCGAGCTCCGAATCAAATTCAGCGTCCGGATAAGCGGTCTGCGCGACGCAGGAGCGATGGTATGCGTCAAATTCGCAAAATCGTCGCCTATCGCGTCGGACGACTCCGACTGCTCGCAATGCCAGATCGTCACGTTGTCGAGGTCCGCGCTGCACGCCCCGAGGAAGCGCCGCAGGGACGCCGCCGACGGCGGGGTGAACGAGATGGTCAGCTCCCGGACGGTGCGCATCGCCAGGAACCCGCACAGCGCGTGGAACGGCGCGTCCGCGACGACGAGCGGGACCTGGTGCAGCTCGAGCTCGCGCAGCTTCGGCCACGCGCAGCCGCGCACGAGCGCGGGGATCTCGCCGTGCACGCGGCCGACGACGAGCGCGAGGCGGCGCACGTGCGTGCTGAGGTGCGGCGAGGCGCGGGCGACGGCGATGAAGCGCCCCGTTTCGACGCGCGTGTTGAGCATCAGGTCCGCGAAGAGCAGCGCCTGCGCGGCGAAGCGGAAGGTCGGGCTGACGGAGGAGCAGGCGCGCAGATCGGTGTGCGATGCGTTCAGATGGGAGATGATTTGCTCCCATAGCTCGGCGGGGAGACGCGACATGGAGGGCAAGGGCAGATTGCGATTAGATCATGGCCTGTCGATTGACATGCATTGATCTCGTTTCGACAGCACTCTCCTACACTCATGACTTCTGCTCCGATAATCTGCTTGCTCACCTACGGCCTCGTTTACAGAATGTTTCAACTGGCCTTACCACCTCTATGGGCTCCCTCGCCGAATGGGCGCCGCAGTCCATTTCCTTCCTTACACCCGTCCGCGGACAGACGTACCAAGATCGACCTCGTCTCCGTGTACAAGACCTGGCACGACGTCGGTGTTTAGTTTCTGTACGAACGAATCATATTGCGCCGCCCTATACAGCTTTTCGCCCTCATCCGGACCCTGCTCGCATCTCCCTCGCTACCAAACCTCGTCCGTCGGATGGAGATTACATGCGGGATCAGCCAGAGTCAAGCGCTGAGGCAAACGGAGCGAAGGCTCTTAGATCTGTGTACGAGGCCGAACTATCTCGCGCTTGAGCTAGGAAAACTTGCCCCGTATGAGCCTCCCCGGTTTCGGTCGCATTGACAAGCCTCCATCTCGGATCCCCAAGTCGAGACTGCTTTCGAGATCCTCTGCGGGGTCTGTGCATCCCTCGAGTAGCTGTCGGTGTATCTACCGCCCTCGACCTATCCCGAGCTGGTTTTCCTCCGACTAGCACCTCCGAGACGCTCTCTCCATGGTGTCTCAGCCCGTCCTAAAGATGCCTGTGCTGCGGGATATGGTTCTCATAAGCGATCATGCGTTCCGCGGTCCTTTCCTATCGATTCACGCCGTGCGCCTGAAGCGGCTCGTTTTGCACGGACCGATCCTCCAGTCCAGCCTCGAGCACTGCCGATCGCTCGCATACCTCTGCCTTGCCACGTCCGCGCAAGCAGTCTTCCTGCCGCACCACCGCGGTCTCGCCAGCCTCGACCTGTCCTCCGAATCCCAGATCATAAGACACATGGAGACAGTGGTAGATTCCCGATACCACGATGGACTTCCCGCCCTGCGCGTGATGCGATTCGTCCACGGCTCAGACGCAGATACAGTCGCGATTATGCCTCCTCCAGAGGTGGATCTCGCAGCAACGCAGGCGATAGACTGCTTCGCGAAGAACGGACCCAGTCTGCCGAGACGAATCGAAGGAACTGAGGAGTTTTGAAGCTGGATGGTAGCTCGTGGGCCCTCTTCTGGAGGATTCAGCATGGCAGTGTCTATACTATCCTGCTCCTTCCAACATGATTCCCAGCTTCCACGGCCACCGATAAACGCGTGGGGCACTCTCCCTCACGATGAATGCTTCGAGGTTCTATGCGTCGCCTACGACTGCGGGTTGCAAAACCCATCGCGGGTGATGGCATTGACCCGCCGATGGTGCTGGTGCAGAAACCTCCCGAATATCATGGCACCACAGCCCCCGGCGGCTTTTCTCTCCCCGGCTATCCGTTGCACTAGAAGACTGTGACGAAACCCGGCGAGGCAGATGTGAGGGATAGAGCTTTCGAGGTGTGAGGTGGATAGTGATTCGTATCGACGGCCGCGAGTCTCACTCTTTGCTAAGCTCCGTGTCCCCTGGCAAGTCGTCGTCCGAGCGAGATGGAGGAAGCACCGCACCCGCCGGAGGATATATGCATCTCGTTGGTCCCATCGAAATGTTTGGCGTCATGAATTCTCGGTCCTCTCAATACGACTATCATCTCCTTCGTCGCGCGGATATGTCCACTGTTTTCTCCGAGAAGTTTTGGTGGCTCCAGATACGTGGGTGTCGTGGTGCAGTGCTCGGAATGAGAGGGAAGAAGGGAGATTGTCTCGAAATGCGACATCCATCGGATTTTTCGGAGCAGGCAAACCGTGGCCGTGGCTGTGCCCTGATCGCAGTGCAGCCGGTCATTGCGGCCCGGCATGAAATCATTCCACAAGTTGCCGATGCTTCGAACACACCGGAAAGCTAATGGATCAGAACATGGGAAATCTTCTCATGATTCGGCTGCTCCGAACTCGAGCTGGGCGAGAGAACGGAGTCACCCCAGTGAACAGACACTTCGGTCGTCATTGTGGCCACTGGCGGTGGTTGGTGGGCAACAAGCCTGTCAGTATCGTCGTCTCTGTCTACCACAGCAGCCCGCTCGCTCGAATCAGTCCTCCTGAGACAATCCTGTTAGACCCCGACCCGGGCTTCAGGGTTGCTTCTCGGCTTCTGAACGGGCCCCAGTGGAGATAATAGTCGTGCAAACGTCATCCTCAGAAGATGTCTCGCGTTCTCAAGCGAGACACTGGCATGTTCCGGCATTGAGGCTGACGAGCTCGTCAGCCTTCGCCCGAATGCTTACCGAGCGTGAATATAAAGACCAAGGCCGCTGATCGCCCGAAACTTCTTCTCCTCCCCCCCTCCAATTGCGCGCATGGTATATCCTCCGTGAATGTGCTTGATGCACCCGCTGACGATGAGTGCGACAGGAGTGCCATCAGTTGATAAAACATCAGGAGGACCGCAAGGTGGGTCACCGTCGCACACTTCATATACTCCTCTCGCCTGATCGCGTGACCATTCTGGAAGGGCAAGAAACGTGGCCCATCGTCCGACCTATCTGCCCTCATCCACATCCCCGGACCTACACGGCAACTCACACGGCGAAAGATGGTGAACCGAGAAGTCGCGTGTCTGTCAGCGCGCTGACGGTCGAGTCATGATGGTTAGGTCAAGCTTCCGCCGAGGACGTCCGATAGCAGTGACGACGCGCGCTTGCAGCTCCTACGCAGATCATCGATCTCGCACTCGCTTTCCTTCTCGAACGCTCGACTACGAGGGTTATTGGAGTCTTTGAGACACGGTTCTGAGTAGTCAGACTGGTTTCTGGTTTGGGTTCTCGGAGAGATGTTCGTTTGATTGGGCGGAAGGGTTAGATCGGGGTCCTGTGTCAATTTTTGGGATGTAATTGCAATCGATTTCTTTCTTTTTTGATGCTAGAGCTCATCACGGAAGTCCATACCGCTGCAGATCCGGCTTTCAGTGCATCACGTATCAGATGCGCTGCTTATGGATTGATGGATTGATGATGATGCGCCTCGGCCTCGGTTATCAGTTGCTCGCAATCTCCGGTCGGGGCAGTGTTGATTTCGACATGACAAGCAAGAGTATGCCTCCACCTTCCACGATGAGCAACAGCGGAGACTTCGATGGTATTCTCATTTGTCCCAGCTCACTGCCATATCTCAGTACAATACCTCCTTAGACCTCGGTTCAGCAGAGATTTTCTCGATTTACATCGCTGGAGCGGAGAAATACGACAAGGCGATCGTGGAAGGCTGGCGCAGGGACATGGAGGGCCTGTTGATATTCGTGAGTATTCGGTCGGAGGATTTGTGATCTACACGAAGCACATCTGGTCTCACGTTCTATCAAGGCCGGCCTGTTCTCAAGTGTCCTGACGGCATTCATCATCGAAAGCTACCAGAAGCTGTCTCCGGATCCAGCCCAGGCTACTTTACAAGCCTTGGCACTGATCTCAGCCCAGCTGTCGGCCATTGCCAATGGGACACAGCTGGCTGTAGACGTTCCCGGAACCGACCCATTCACACCATCGGCCGCGTCTGTTGCATGCAACATCTTCCTGTTCATCAGCTTGGGACTCAGCCTTGCTTGCGCTCTTCTCGCGACGCTCGTTGAACAATGGGCCCGACATTTCCTGCAGAAGGTCGATGCTCGGTCCTCTCCCCTCGTGCGCGCGCGCGTTCTGTCGTATCTCTATTTTGGCGCCAAACGTTTCAAAATGCATGACATCGTCGAGATAGTTCCGATGCTGCTGCATCTTTCGCTGACGTTCTTTCTCGCTGGCCTGATCGCTTTGCTACGGCCGATCAACAGCACGGTCATGATTGTCTCCGTGCTCATGTTTGTCTTTGTGCTTGTGATTTACTGCGGGGCCACGGTCCTGCCCCTGAAGTTTTCGGACTGCCCTTACCGGACGCCTCTCACCCATATCTGCTGGCGCTTTTACAACTTTTATCGATCGCTTCAGCTTTCTCAAGTAGTTGACTGCGAAAAGGGGCTCACAAGGTCGGTCAAATCCCCTCCCAACTCACAAACGACGCTAGTGGCAAGAACCATGACCGAAGTGATGGTGATGGATGCGACCCAGCCATCCGTTTACCGAACCGATCGCGATCTGTCAGCCCTGCGATGGACGGTTAAATCGCTCAGCGACAATGACGAGCTTGCCCCGTTTGTTGAACGTCTTCCTTTAGCCCTCTGGGGTCCCCGTGGACCCCGTCCTGTCCAAGCCAGACTACTCCTCTCGCTCGTCGCCGACCCCGAGACCGATTTGATCCGTCGGATGCAAAATCTGCTGGACAGCGGGGAGCAGGGCTTGCTGGAGTCCGGCACACGGCTCCGCCGCAAATTGTCGGTCGGCCGGGCTGTGTCCGCTCTCGCCAGATTGTGCTCTACGGACGATGGATACCTGCCGATGATCTCCAATGTGCTGCGCTTCGACACGGCGTCCTTCTTTCCCGCGCGGTTCTCCTCTGGGGAGGTGGCTTCCGCGTTCTCCCTCTCACTGTGTGCTCTGCTGGAATGCTGCCACTATCGGAACGTCGAGTCGGTTCTCAGGCGAGCGGAGACAGAAATTCTGACGGAGTCCGGAAACGACGCCGTGTCTGCTGAGCTGCTTCTTGAACTGCAGCAGGCCATTTCGGGCTATCAGCTCTTCATCCGAACATCACGTCTGCACACAGTTCACCGCCGAGATCATCTTGATGCTCTGTCGGATCTCACCGAGGAAAGCCTGTTGCCGGAGAAAATCCGGAACATCCGCTCTGAGCTCATCAGAGCCTTGTTCATTCTTCTCTCTACATATATTCTGCGCACGACTGAATCTGAAGAGACTCCGGACGAATTCGACACTACATGCTCGACTCTGAGATCCTTGCTTGGCACCTCCTCTGCCGACATTGAAACATGTGTCTTGTTTTACTACGATTTCAAGGTCCTCATCGACAGACGGGCTAAATACGGATGCGACGCCGAGAAGGTCAACCCGTGTGTCGATGCCGGGATGTCTGTCCTGCTTGCGTACTGCATGGGAGCGGTCGAGGTCCTCGCTCACAATCAGTCTCCGCCGTGGCCATTCGATGTTCTCGGCGACAAGATACTGTCGTTCTGTGCACTTTTCAGCACACCGCTAAGATGCAGCAACGCACTGGATCTTCTCCTCGCGCACGTGCCAAAATCGGTCTTCTACCGTTTCATGTCCCTCTACATCCGGGGCGCACGGTCCGGGCCACTTCATCCGAGACACAACAGAACGATACGCGAGCAGTTGCTGCACGGGCTGTTCAACCTGATTTGCGGGGCGGACGGTGCGCCGCGCCGGGACGCGAGCGTCGTCGGCGAGAGTCAGTTCATGCAGGCTCTGATCAAGGTCTCGAACAGCGCTGTGGCCCCATCGCTCGCGGCCATCATGACGAGGAACTCCCTCGTGTCCCTCAACCTGCTTTGGAGCCACCAGGTCGACCGTGCCCTCGCGGAAAGAATGCCGGAGAGCACCGCGCTGCTGCTCAAAATAAGCCGCTCGCCGATTTTTCCGGCTCTGACAGCGGCGGTCCTCCCTGCCCGGAACTGCAGTCTGCATCCCCTCTCACTCGAGGCGCTGAGATCGCTGAGTTGTGGGTTTCAGGTCCGCATCCGAGAAGCGACACTAGTTTGCATCGGGCGTTTCCTGCGAGCGTGCGCGAGCTCGCCGAAGATCCACGCGGCCAAGGAGGTCCTGGAGGGACTCTATCTGACCCTCGAAAGCAGCATTCACATGCCGCTCAGCCTCGCGGACGTGCCGATTCCCCACAGGCAGCACCAACTAGACTTTGTTCGCGCGCTCCTCGAGCTGAATCTGCGCGCGACCGGCGACAATGCAGTGCTGCGAGCGGTCTTGTTGGACTCCGAGGACCGGTCGCGTGGCGCTGGAGAGCGGATATGGCTGGATGGACTGCGCTTTCATATCGACTGCATCGAGGCATATCAGCTCTTGAGAGACGGATTGAGACGCAGTCCGCGGGCGTCTCGGATCAAGGATATAATCGCCTATGCCGATTCAGAAGTGGCCCGGTTGAACGACTTTGCATGAGCATATACCATCGTTCTGCCTGTGAATGCGGTCACGAAAGATTCTTCGTTGAGCCGACAACCTCTGGTGGAGCACAATGTCCTATATTTCTGTCTGCTCATATAATCGCTAAAGATAGCGGCCATATGTATTTTTACCGCCAACTGCAGCGGGATCTGACCGTGAATCCCGGTGTCAATCTAAAATGAGTGCGACCACGGTGGTGGTGTGGCAAATTTTCGCTGTTATGGCGGTAGAATCCCTGAAATAGCTATTTGAACACACATAGTATGTGGCGAGCTTCTCAATTAAATCGGAGGGATTACACTGGGTCACTTGTCTCACATTGATCGCAGCCAGTCATGCAATGAGCAAGTGATAATTGATTAATCAGCGGTAGCAGTACATCGCCATAAAAAATAAGATAATGCGCAGCCATCGGTGTCACAAGTGCATCTGTACCGTGAAAAGCAAGAAAAAGGCGCACAAGTTTTCGACGTTTGGTAATGCGCCAGATGGCGCATTTCAATGTACGTACTTCGAGTCAACCCAATCGGCCCAGTTCGGTATGATACTCTGCAGTGTGTACCCCGCGGCCTCTTTTTTGGTGATGACCGTCGAGAAATTCGGGCGGTTCGCGTTTTCTACCCCCGGACCGAATGAGTTGTACTCAACGTAGTCCACGAAGTCGGTGTTTGCATTGCCGACGTTCCAGATCGACCAAATCGTGTTGTTCATCTGTACGAACAGTGTAAGCTGGAGTAATTGGTGACCGAAATCATTGGACAGACCGGAGCTTGGATGTCTGTGTTCTTGAAGATCACGCTTTTCGGTGTCAGTCAGGGAGCGCCGTGAGTTGAAGAAATCTTACCGAGCCCAGTCTGACATGGGCGAGTCAGCGATCAGAACATTGCGAATAACGGTGGCCAAACTCACTTCCCCATGGGCGACCCAGAAAGACGTGATCAGTCACATTTGAGAATGCGTCCGCTGCAGCGATGACTTTGTTGTCCTCGAAAAGGTCTGTTGCGGCTGCATCAGTATGTCCGCTACAGAGACGGGGGATGACCTACAGATTCCGCTGTCGTTCAGCTGACGCCCGCTAGCGGTAATGCATCCCGAGCCGCGACTCGCCAGGGTGTTGCCCTGGAAGTATGCGATGGAATGCCGGCCAAAAATGTAGTCCACGGCGCCCTGCGTATTGTTGAGCGCGAGAAGACAAGCGACTCGCCGACGCACCTCGATGTAAGACTTGAGGAAGATGTGGTTCCCGACATTGGTGTAAAGCGTGTCCTGAACTTCGTCAGGGGCCAGTCCTCAATCGAGCAGTAGTGAGAAATACCTGGTAAGAGAACAAACCGCACGCATAAACCCCCATCTGGTCCGCCTGGGCGCTCAGTGCAATGGCCTGCCCATTCGTCAGCGCGACGCCGAAGTTGTTGACGATGTTGAGGTTGTAAAGCGACACGTTGGCGGACAGGACACGCAGAGTGCCCGTGCGGTCGTCGCTCCCTGCGCCCGTCGCGAGCGAGGCGTTGTGGAGCAGCGTCACGGTGTTGTGCGCATAGTTGAGCGCGTGCTCGGTGTATCCTCGGATCTAGCACAATCGACCCTGAGCGTCAGTGAAGAGGGCGAGAGAGGCGGAAGGGACGCACCGTGACCGGCCCCGGACGCGAAACGTTCACCTGTCCAACATACAGCCCCGGGAAGACGAACACAGTCTGCGAGCTGTTGTCGGCGGGCAGCGCATTGATGGCGCTCCCCAGATCCGGAAACTCCCCTGGCACCGTTGTATTCGGCCGGACGATGACAGCGCCGGCGGGCGGCGTAGTCGCTTTGTGCGCATGCACGGAAAGGACGGCGAGGAGAGGAAAGAGAAAGCGCATTGCGTCGTAAGCTGCGTCCAACAAGGGTCAGGAACAGGCCCCTTATATACGTTGCATGCCCCTCGCGTGGATTCAACAGCGCCATCGCTAGAAGTCAAGTGAGCGGTACGACATGGGAGGATGAGCTCGTGATTCATCTTCGGTGTCAATTCGAAGAGCCGTGGCGGTCCGGGGCCAAGACTGGTCGGCTAAGATTATTATGGGATGTGAATTTTCACATGGGCACGTGTCGGTGACAGCAGTGAGAAATCTCAGAGCCCGGGAACCGTTCATAAAGACACGAGCATTCAGGGTAAAGTAAGGACGAAACTTCAGACGGTTGAAAGAAGGACTAGCAAGATACAGCGTGACGATAGGTCACAGTGGGATTGCGTGACCACGTGGAATGCTCGAAGCGTAGCCACAATCTGTGCATCCCCCGAACGCTGCGTTTCAGGATTAAGCGAGCGCATTACTTCACATTTAGTAAGGAGCTGCAACCCGAGGTTTCTGACGAAATTCGGAGCTTCAATTCCGAAAAAGAATATAGAATGGGCAATTTACTTTCCCTGCAAATTGAAAAAAACTTACCTGGAGAAAATAATAAAAAGCGCATTCAAACTGGTTACAATATTTTTTTGTGGGACAAAAATTATCTATTACTTCTCACTACCTTTCCTAGCACATCTCTGGTGAATATTGTGTCATGCACAATCTCTTACAGGGTTCCTCGGCCTTCCATTGCATACCCCATGTTCACAACATGTTAAGATAGATTCAACAAGTATTTGTACATTTATTTGTACATTGATGGAAGAGTTTTTTCCTGCTCTCTTACTGCCATCTGGTGAAATGCTGAGGGCGCGCTCACAAGTGAATCTACTATGAAAGTAAACCCAAATATAAACACGTTCACACTCACCTTGGACACCCCACATTTGTACCTCGAGAGGTACCTTTTTGAGGCCCAAAAAGGTACCTCAGTGGTAGTGGGCAGCCGTGGGCTGGGCGGCAGCCGGGCGCCCCCCAATGCTCTGGGGGGCCCCAGCTACATTTTTGTGGGCGTCCAGCGGGCGTCCTTGGGCGGGCATGTGGGCGGGCCCATGGCTCCTGGGGTCCTTGTAGCGCGCGCAGCGCCAGAAAAATTTCCGTTTTTTGACCTATTTGGGAAGTTAAAGTCAAGTATATATTTGCAATCTATTCGATAATACAGGCGTACAATGTACATAGGAGCTAGATTTATCCTTTGCAGTCTAATCAATAATACGGGTGAGTGTATGCAATAATATTGATTTGACGCACGCAAAAATCCTTATTGCTTTTGTCATGGATATATAAAATCACCATTTCGTAGGCTTATGACTTAAAATCACTATCTTGTAGGCTTATGACTTGGATCACGTGCAAAATTTTTCTCATACCTCTTTTGAACCTAGATTGATTTATTCTCAGTGACCGCGGCGATTGCCGGCGCGGGACCACTCCATGTGACTTTATGACGCCTAGGAAACTATGTGTGGGGCCGCCCACTGATGTGTGGGGCCGCCCACTGATGTATGGGGCCGCCCGCCAATTGCCAAGAGAAATATGGGCCCGCCCGCAGAATTGTGGGACCGCCCGCCAATTGCCAAGAGAAATATGGGCCCGCCCGCAGAATTGTGGGACCGCCCGCCAATTGCCAAGAGAAAAATGGGCCCGCCCATAGACGCTTAAACATCTGCCAAAAAATGACACAGATCCAGATATTCACCATCAAGGACTCACCACGTACAGGATTTGAGACAATTCTTTTTGAAAAAAGTTTACACAATTAACCTCTGCTCTGCCCTGCAGGAAACAAAAACATTGCACAAGGTAAAGCTATGCGTAACAGAGTCATTAGGTCAAGAACTACAGTGTAGTAAATGTAAAACAAAGATAATTGTCCAGAAAACGCGTAAGAGGAATGTCGATCACAGTACTGTGCCGTAGCATCCGGTGTCAAGCAACTCCTTGTATAGTGTCTTGTGTAAGCCTCTGTGCCGGTCGGCAACAACCGGAAGGAGGCGGAGGTCTACGCTTTTCCACTGACCGTCCTGATCTATTTGCAATCCCCGACTGATGTAGTCGTCTACGATCATTGCGTCCCCTACACTCCGTCTGCGGAATCGTGTAACAAAGAACGTTTTGGATGACTGGTGTCCAAAGACGTAACGACAAATGCGCTCGCCCTCTCTGGGATCCTTCTCCAGCTGCTGCATCAGCAACTCCCTGTTGATCCGCTGACGTTTGCGCGGGGGCTCACTGCCATCCACGTCACTGTTGTTGAGATTATCAGCTAAGCTCGACGCCCGCAAATGTGAGAACTGGTCTGGAGTGGGTGAGCAAGCTGCCATTGGTCGCTTGCCCTCTCTCTTCTCGTTGGTGTCATTGATCTCCTTTTTGTAAGACGTGCAGTCCCGAACCCAGGCAATCTCGTTGTTATCCCCCAAACGCGTGGCCAACACAATGTTGGCCACCTCGTCTGGATTGTCTGCAGCCTCTTTCTCTTCTACATCAGGTATGAGTGGGCTGTTGACGAGCTGTTCTGTAGAACTGACTGTCCGTCCACTTCACGAAGTGGGGCGCTGTGCACGCAAGTCTCTCTTTGGCAGTCTTTTCTGCGATTGACTGCGCATCATCCTCTTGTAAGATTTTGTAGTCATCCGGTTTTGCACGCAACTCCATGCCGGGAAGCACCCGTTGTACCAAGTCCGCAGAGGGTTTCCAATTTGGCTGCGGCAGCTTGAAGCCATCCGGCCAATTGATAAGCCTCAGTTGATGGCGCCGGCAGAGGTTCAGGATATCCCAGCTCATCTTCTTCAGCTGGAACCCTCCCAAACGTTCTAGTTAACATCCATCAGAAGGCTCAAATACATCAAGAAACTGTACTTGCCCATAGCCATACGCAAAAGGTCTTGCACGCGAGCTCGTTCCATGCTTCGCTTATCTGCATACTGCTTGCCAGTTGCGCCCACCATCCCTCGCTCCGATTGATTGCGCATGATAGGAGCTCCTGAGTTCTTAGCCGTTGACGCCTGGGCAGTTGAAGCTATGGTCGTCTGCTCGGCCATTGGCACGTCTAGTGCACGTTCATCCATGTCCAGCTTTCTGCAAACCAGTTAGTATCACAGCGAAAGTGTCTGACCGATGCTTACCGCAGCATAGTCTCGTAGTCTTGCAATTGACGATCCACAGCCACTGGAAACGTCTTCATCAGTTGCAGGTACTCGGGTGATCCCCCCCATGCGCAACTGTGCTGCCCGTCTTCATCAATGATCACTCCGAAGGCATGCACGTTGAGTTGTCGATATGCTTTTGCTGACTGTGAACAGTTTAATACACTTATCTAGGAAAGAATCTGCATTACAGACCACACGAGTAAGGTTCTTGGCCACATCCGCCACTAAAGCGGGAAACTTTCCACTTCTTCTCGCATCGATTATCTTTTCCTCCGTGTGGATTGCATACCAATCAAGGACATCACTGAAATGCTCGTTGAGCACGTCGACATTGCTTTGCTGTTCCTGGCCCAACTGGGCCAAACGATCCTCGTACGCTTTGCTGACCTGCCTGTTCCAGACGCTGACGTGCACTGTCAGATTGGTGAGTCACAAGCGTTCACTGGTGGTAAGTAATCACTCACTATCGGCGGGCTTTTTACCTTTGTGTTGAGCCGAGTACCAGGTCTGGAACTTGTTCCACATGTGTTCCTTGGGACTTCGAGAGTCCTCGTCGCCGCTCACGTTCTCCATCACTCTTTCCACCGGTACGTTGTACTTTTCCGATATCTTTTCTAGCTGCTTTTGCACTTCCAAAATTTCCACGTAATAGGCTTTCGGTGGACGGCCACCCTTGTCAGCCTCGGTGTTCGTACCAGACAGTGCACGACGACCCTTTTGGCTCATAGATTTAGGATTGCTGACGCTGACAGATCCGGTCTTCTCTGTGGTCGACACGTTTGATGTGCTTGTGGCGCCCAGCAGTGCAACGTCCTGAGCCACACGGTTTCGCAGCTCGTCACTCTGACTTCCGTCGCTCTCGACATTGCTGGAAGCTCGCCTCAGTCTTATGTCCCTCATCTTCTCCTCTTCACGCTCCCTGATCAATGCAGCGCGGAGTCGTTTTTGCTTCTTGGTTTCGAAGTCGTCGTTGTCGCCTTCACTCTCATACGGAGCTTCCGTTCCAGGGATCCGTCCACGATAACGCCCATTGCGGTCTGGATTGGAGCGTTGAACCATCGCCGCGTTTTCATCACAAGCCTCGTCATTGCTTCCAAGCAGGTTGTCTTCCTCGTCGGCGTGAGGGTCAAGGTATAGTTCTTGGAGCTCGTCCAGTGCCCACTCTGCCTCTCGTGAGACTGGCAGCTCGTCAAGTGATGGCAGATGTCGGGAACGTGGAGTAATCTCCCCCTCACTCTGCGTTGACAAAGTGCCAACTCGTGGACGAGCACGAGGTGTTCTCTGGTCTTCGAGATCCCTCGATGGTGTTTGCGGTGGCGTGGATACGCTGGAGGCGCGAGCTGATTGAGGTGTGGGTCGAACAGGGCTCAGGGACAAGACGTTCATGGCTAAACGCGATGCAGCGCTACCAAGCGTGTTAGGAGTGTTCGCCCACAGGTCTGCTCTTCCTTGAAGTCCGAGGAAGGCGGGCGTCATCTCCAGCAAGCTATCCGGAATGGGAGACGATGGCGGTAAGTGCTCCGCGTCATCGATACGTGTACTGGGCGAGGGAGACGAAAAGGGCGCAGGAGACGATGGCGGTAAGTGCTCCGCGTCATCGATACGTGTACTGGACGAGGGAGACGAAAAGGGCGCAGGAGACGATGGCAGTAAGTTCTCCGCGTCATCGATACGCGGACTTGGTGAGGGAGATGGTATCCGCGCCACAGACTCCCCTTGGCAGGCAGTCAGACTGTGCAGAATGTGTACTGATTCGGGCACAAACGTACTGAGCGTGATTGGGATGCCTGGATTCGTCGATTGTGCCGCTCTCTGTCGATCAATAAGATGTCGGGCGCACGGTGGAGAACAAGGTACAACCATCCGAGCCCTTTCCTCTCTTTTTCGGCGGCGCACATCCACAGCCGGTGTCTCTGGCTCAAGGGCTGGAGCAACAGAATTGGATCGCAGTGGTCGGGTTGGTGCGGCTGAAGATGTAGGCGGTTTCGCTGCAGACTTGGAGCGGGGAGGCATGTTGCTGGTAGTGGATCGAATTTGGAAGCGTGTAAGCTTGGAAGGATGCCCCAAATTCGGTCGAGTTCTGGGAGCATAAGGGGATGCAGGGGATCAGCTTCAAAGTCTTGACCTTGTCAACTGCTCAGTACTCACTG